ATGCGCTATTTGTATAACGCGATATGCGATTTTCGAGTTTCGACTTTCGAGTTTTCAATAAGCGATATGCGTTATGCGATATGCGTTATGCGCTATGCGCTATGCACTATGCGCTATGCGCTATTTGTATAACGCGATATGCGATTTTCGAGTTTCGGCTTTCGAGTTTTCAATAAGCGATATGCGTTATGCGATATGCGTTATGCGCTATGCGCTATGCGCTATGCGCTATGCGCTATGCACTATGCGCTATGCACTATGCGCAATTTGCATGACGCGATATGCGATTTTCGAGTTTCAAGTTTCGAGTTTCAACTTCCGAGTTTTCGATAAGCGATAAGCGTTATGCGTTATGCGCTATGCGCTATGCACTATGCGCTATGCGCTATTTGCATAACGCGATTTGCGATTTTCGATTTTCGAGTTTCGACTTTCGAGTTTTCGTTAAGCGATATGCGTTATGCGCTATGCGCTATGCGCTATGCGCTATGCACTATGCGCTATGCGATATTTGCATAACGCGATATGCGATTTTCGAGTTTCGACTTTAGAGTTTTCAATAAGTGATATGCGTTATGCGATATGCGCTATGCACTATGCGCTATGCGCTATTTGCATAACGCGATATGCGATTTTCGAGTTTCGACTTTCGAGTTTTCGATAAGCGATATGCGTTATGCGCTATGCGCTATGCACTATGCGCTATGCGCTATTTGCATAAAGCGATTTGCGATTTTCGATTTTCGAGTTTCGACTTTCGAGTTTTCGTTAAGCGATATGCGTTATGCGCTATGCGCTATGCACTATGCGCTATGCGCTTTTTGCATAACGCGATTTGTGATTTTCGATTTTCGAGTTTCGACTTTCGAGTTTTCGATAAGCGATATGCGTTATGCGTTATGTGCTATGCGCTATGCACTATGCGCTATGCGCTATTTGCATAACGCGATGTGCGATTTTCGAGTTTCGACTTTCGAGTTTTCGATAAGCGATATGAGTTATGCGCTATGCGCTAGGCGCTATGCGCTATGGGCTATGCGCTAATTGCATAACGCGATATGCGATTTTCGAGTTTCGACTTGCGAGTTTTCGATAAGCGATATGCGTTATGCGTTATGTGCTATGCGCTATGCGCTATTTGCATAACGTGATATGCGATTTTCGATTTTCGAGTTTCGACTTTCGAGTTTTCGATAAGCGATAAGCGTTATGCGCTATGCGCTGTGCGCTATGCACTATGCGCTATGCGCTTTTTGCATAACGCGATATGCGATTTTCGAGTTTCGACTTTCGAGTTTTCAATAAGCGATAAGCGATATGCGTTATGCGCTATGCACTATGCGCTATTTGCATATCGCGATATGCGATTTTCGAGTTTCGACTTTCGAGTTTTCGATAAGCGATAAGCGTTATGCGCTATGCGCTATGCGCTATGCGCTATGCGCTATGCGCTATGCGCTATTTGCATAACGCGACATGCGATTTTCGAGTTTCGACTTTCGAGTTTTCGATAAGCGATATGCGATATGCGTTATGCGTTATGCGTTATGCGCTATGCACTATGCGCTATGCGCTATTTGCATAACACGATATGCGATTTTCGAGTTTCGACTTTCGAGTTTTCAATAAGTGATATGCGTTATGCGCTATGCGCTATGCACTATGCGCTATGCGCTATTTGCATAACGCGATACGCGATTTTCGAGTTTCGACTTTCGAGATTTCGATAAGCGATATGCGTTATGCGCTATGCACTATGCGCTATTTGCATAACGCGATCTGCGATTTCGAGTTTCGACTTTTGAGTTTTCTATAAGCGATATGCGTTATGCGCTATGCGCTATGCGCTATGCACTATGCGCTATTTGCATAACGCGATATGCGATTTTCGAGTTTTCGATAAGCGATACGCGATATGCGTTATGCGCTATGCGCTATGCGCTATGCGCTATGCGCTATGCACTATGCGCTATGCGCTATTTGCATAACGCCATTTGCGATTTTCGATTTTCGAGTTTCGACTTTTGAGTTTTCAATAAGCGATATGCGTTATGCGCTATGCGCTATGCACTATGCGCTATGCGCTTTTTGCATAACGCGATATGCGATTTTCGAGTTTTCGATACGCGATATGCGTTATGCGTTATGCGCTATGCACTATGCGCTATGCGCTATTTGCATAACGCGATATGCGATTTTCGAGTTTTCGATAAGCGATATGCGTTATGCGCTATGCGCTATGCGCTATGCGCTATGCACTATGCGCTATGCACTATGCGCTATTTGTATGACGCGATATGCGATTTGCGAGTTTCGAGTTTCGACTTTCGAGTTTTCGATATGCGTTATGCGCTATGCGCTATGCGCTATGCGCTATGCACTATGCGCCATTAGCATAACGCGATATGCGATTTTCGAGTTTCGACTTTCAAGTTTTCGATAAGCGATATGCGTAATGCGCTATGCGCTATTTGTATAACGCGATATGCGATTTTCGAGTTTCGACTTTCGAGTTTTCGATAAGCGATATGCGTTATGCGT